GGATTTCAGCCTCAATTTGCAGGATTTTAGGCCAAATTGAGGATTTTGGGTCCAATTTCTGGGATTTTGGCCTCGATTTGCAGGATTTCAGGCCTAATTTGGAGGATTTTTGGTGCAATTTTTGGGATTTTAGGCCCAATTTGTGGGATTCCAGCCCAAATTTGCAGGCTTTCAGGCCAAATTTGTAGGATTTCAGCCTCAATTTGCAGGATTTTAGGCCAAATTGAGGATTTTGGGCCCAATTTCTGGGATTTCGGCCTTGATTTGCAGGATTTCAGGATTAACTTGGAAGATTTTAGGTGCAATTTTTGGGATTTTTAGGCCGAATTTGTGGGATTCCGGCACAAATTTGCAGGCTTTCAGGCCGAATTTGTAGGATTTCAGCCTCAATTTGCAGGATTTTAGGCCAAATTGAGGATTTTGGGTCCAATTTCTGGGATTTTGGCCTCGATTTGCAGGATTTCAGGCCTAATTTGGAGCATTTTAGGTGCAATTTCTGGGATTTTAGGCCGAATTTGTGGGATTCCGGCCCAAATTTGCAGGCTTTCAGGCCAAATTTGTAGGATTTCAGCCTCAATTTGCAGGATTTTAGGCCAAATTGAGGATTTTGGGTCCAATTTCTGGGATTTTGGCCTCGATTTGCAGGATTTCAGGCCTAATTTGGAGCATTTTAGGTGCAATTTCTGGGATTTTAGGCCGAATTTGTGGGATTCCGGCCCAAATTTGCAGGCTTTCAGGCCAAATTTGTAGGATTTCAGCCTCAATTTGCAGGATTTTAGGCCAAATTGAGGATTTGGGGCCCAATTTCTGGGCTATCAGCCTCGATTTGCAGGACTTGAGGCCCAATTTCTGGGATTTCAGGCCTAATTTGGAAGATTTTAGGTGCAATTTCTGGGATTCCAGGGCAAATTTGTGGCATTTCAGCCTTGATTTGCAGGCTTTCAGGCCAAATTTGTGGGATTCTGGCCCCATTTGCACAATTTTGGTCCCCATTTGCAGGATTTCAGTCCTGATTTGCAGGATTTTAGGCCAAATTTGTGGGATTTCAGCCCAAATTTGCAGGATTTTGGCTCAAATTTGCAGGATTTTGGCTCAAATTTGAGGATTTTAGTCCCGGTTTGTGGGATTTCAGCCCCAGTTTGCAGGGAAATGGCACAAAAGCGTCTTGGGAGGAAGGGGCGAGCGCGGGGCAGCCCCGGCGCAGCCGGGTTGGGG